ATGTTATGCTTATGCCTAACACAATATTATAGTTTATAGTATAATATTATTTCGTATAATGCATACAAGGATTATATTAATATCATGGTGATGATAAACTATTCGCTGCTGCAGAGTGCAGAATAATGGCACACTTGTTGAATATGTATAGTGGTGTTAAGTTAAGCCTATATTACACATAGGTAATAATGTTGTGTAAAATATAATAATATCCAAACGAATTTATTTTTCAGATTTGTCCACCAAAAATGAGCCGTGCATAATATATAATACTGCAGTAATTCCTTAGTAGTATATTATTAATTATTATGTTATATGCCCATAACCCAGATAGCATTTTCATAATGATAATATTTTATTAATATCATATCTTCATTATAAAAATAATGTTTTAAGATAAACATCAATAAATTATCAAATAATTATTTTGTGAAATAAAATTATGAAATAATTAATATTATGACATCAAAAGCGAAATAATAAAATAATATTTTGAATATGTTATCATTATGTCATTAAATATGAATTATTTAAATTATATTTTGAGTATATTATTAATATGAAATCAAAAACGAAATAATAAAATAATATTTAGAATGTATTATCATTATGTTATTAAATATGAATTGTTAAAATTATATTTTGAATATATCAATAATATGACATTATTAATGAAATAATAAAATAATATTCTGAATATATTATCATTATGTTATTAAAGATGAATTGTTTTAATTATTTGTTGAATATGTTAATAATATGACATCATTGATGATATAATACAATAATATTCCGAAATAAAGATCATAATATTATTAAAATCTAAATAATTATATTCCGTTTCAGAATAATATATATTATTATATATACCTATACCTATTATAATCAAAAGTTTATTTTAATCAATTATTTATTTTTATTAAGTTTTAGATTCTGAGCGGAGCGATGAATGTATTATTGGTTTTACAATGATGTGTGTTTTTTTTTATATTTTTTATTTTTTTTGTGTCTGTCATCACGTTTTAGGACAGTAAAAGTGCTTGGATTTTCTTCGTCAGTAGCTTTTCTGATAGGAAAGTGAATCTAGTTGGTACTTTGGGGGGTCAAAAGTATAAATTATCCAGTAGTTTTCATAAGCGCCGGGAAAAACAACATAAAAATTAAGGAAAAACGGGAATTTTTACGCAAAATTGGTTTTCCAAATTTTGGTTATTGGTGTAACTCTAAAACAAATGAACGTATATACATGAAATTTTCACTGGTTGTTTATATTTGCATTTTCTATACACGATAACATTTTCAAAATATTTTGATTTATTTTGAACTGTTTAGGGACATTTTCATTTTCCATTTTTTTTTAGTTTTTTTTCTAAAAATATCAATAAAATTTTATTTGTTGGTTGCGAAAGCTTGGAAATTTAATAGAAGGCTCCTAATATATATTGTTTCAAAGGCAGATGAAAAATATTAAAAATCCTTGGTCACAATTTTTTTTTATAAGCATTTAAAGTTCAAAAATTGACAAAATATGGAAAAATCACGAAAATTAGCAAATTATTTTGAGTTAAGAATTCGTAAAAATTTTTTTTTTACATCTAAGATTTGAAAATGAAACACAAGATTCCTTATAAGATTATCTACCTTTATCAATAAAAAAATCTCTACCGGACAGTCAAATTAAATTTTATGAGCGTTTGAAATTCAAATTTTTACAACATTGGATTTTCACTCGATTACTCATGTAGCGATTTCCTTATTTTGTTGCAATTCAAAAACGAACAACTGTAGATACACGAAAATTTCACTGAATGTTTAAATTAGCATTTTCTATACACCATACAATTTTGAAAATATTTTGACTCTTTTTGAGCTGTTTATGGACATTTACAGCTTTCAATTTTTTTTAGTTTTTTTTTCTATAAATATCAATAAAGTTTTATCTGTTGGGCCAAAAAGTGTAAAAATTTAATACAAGGCTCCTGATATATTGTTACAATAATAGCAGTTGAAAAATATTAAAAATACATAGGCACAGTTTTTTTTTATAAGCATTTAAAGATCAAATTTTGACAAAATTTATCAAAATCTCGAAAATTATCAATCATTGTAATTAATAAATTATAAAATGTTCAGTTTTTATAGCTAAGGATTACAAATTCAACACAAAGGTTCTCATAAATAGTTCATACTATAACCAAAAAATCTAAAAAATATATGAACACACTTATTTTTTACAGACATTTTAAATTCAAATTTGGACGAAATTACATATTAAAAAACCTAGAATAACTATTTTAGTTATTTTGTTGTGATTGAATAATATTATTCGTGGGTACTTGAAACTTCGAAAGTGTACTATTATATATCTATGATAGTATCACGGTTTTTGTTGATGTATAACGCGTTATAAGTATCTAATGGATATTGTGATAAAGTGATATGATTAATTTTGAATTTATTATAGGTACCTATTATAGGTCAATTTTTGTTTAATACCATAGATATGTATATAATATGTCTTATACATAGACTGACATACCGTCACCGCTCAGAATCGTTTTTCTTATACAATGATATTATATATATTACATATATTATAGGTAATAGCCAATAGGTACTATCTGGTATAATACTTAGCTACCGTTACCGCGTATATATAATACCTATAGGTACGTGTGTACCACTACGTGTATCTATATCCGTGATCCGTGGTGTATACCCAGTGCTTGAATTGGAAAAAAAATAGAAGGGGTATGCAAAAGTATAAAACATTTGTGCGTCCCCCCAACATTTAAATGTCTTATCAATTCTTGAAATTAGAAGGGGTACGCTAAAATATTTTAAAAATAGAAGTTGGACTCCGTCCCCCCGCGTCCCCCCCCCAATTCAACCACTGTGTATACCTACTAGTTACTACCTATATTATGATAATACTATTTTATACAATTGTCAATTTTAGTGAAAGGATGTATAATATTATAATATTATGTGACATGTGTTAGAAAATAGAAATAACAATGTATTTTAACATAAAACAATATTATATTATACTATACTGCTATATTATTGTATTATATATTTCCATAATATGATATTCTATCGTAGATATTTAAATAAAAAATAGGTAGGTATATAATATTATATACTTATATAGACTATAGTATTATAGCTAATATAGTCTAATACCTAAATTGTATTTTCTACGTTGGGTTTGCCCCAATGTACGTCCGCACTCCGCAGCTGCATAAAGCCATAAACCATCTATTAGCAGTTTTAACAATAGGGATTTCCGAGTATACCTCGAATACGATCGGTTATACATCTATATTTGTACTATAACTATAAATAGTTTGTACCTAAATAATATTATTATGATCACAACAATAATATTATATTTTTATAATCTTATCATTATGATTACAATCAGAAATTACCAAATCGGAACAATTTATTAAAATAAACAAATTATTATTACGATTAAAACCAGACGACGCCCGACGCCACGAGCACGACGGTCGACACTGACGATTCGCCATTCGCGTACTAAACGTTCGGTTAATGGATTCATTTTAATTACTTTCATTGTGAATTTGTGACTTGTGAGTTCTGACTGTTTCGAGTTGTGTCTTTCCGTGCACTTACGATAACACATCCATATATAGTTCAGCAATACGAGTATACCTACGTTCCTTTCAATTTTCATTTGGGAAGACTATATTTGGTAAGTAAAATACATACATTAATTTAAAGGTAATTTACTACATTTATTATTTACTATAGATATATAGATAGGCAAATGTTAATTACGTGGTTAATAACTAACTGTTTTTAATTATATTTATCATAAAATAGGTAGATATAATATTTTAATGATGTACCTAATACAGTATACGATAAATACCTACTCCATTCATACAATTATACAAATGCAGGTGTTTAAAATAGTTGTATAGAATTCTGACAGACATTTAAATATTTCCTGAAATTTAAATCGACAATATAAAAATATATAAGTATATAGGTACAAGGTAGGTACCTACATAAGTATTTAACCTATACTCATTTAAAAATGTTATGCATTCTGTATTTATTAGTATAGCAGTATAACTTAAGCAAAACATATAGCTGGTAAATCATAACATTTAGTATTTTTCTTATATTATAGGTATGTTAATAAATTGTGATTAAACATAATTATTACTAGGTGGGTAATTAAAAATAGAAAAATATTTTTAAAAATGAGTAGGTATTCCTCGGTATTCCTGTTTCTACATTTTGAATTATCAACCATGAGATATTATAATATTAAGTAGTAGCGGTAGTTAACAGTGACAGGAATCTGCATGCTTTCTACTAGCTATCATGGGCGCCCGCAGGGGTATGCCAAGGGGGCCATTGCCCCTCCTGGGAATTTTAAACTGCATGTACTTTAATATCAATATCTCTATAACTAATATTAGATTATAAATAATTTTTATCTTTCCCCGGGTGGGATTTTATCCTGCGGGTGCACTTGCTAGCTATTGCAGCATTTTAATTTGGCCCTTGCTTAAAAATACCAAATTGAAAAATATACCTAGGTATTGGTGTATAATATAGGTTAGGTTATGGTAGATGTTTGTTGTGCAGTATATTTCATATTGCACGAATGCCGTTCAATATCAATAAAATAAAAACTATATTTTTGAAAATGTTTTAACACAATATTAGGTCTATAAATTGATAATATGTTTAGATAAATTATTGTCTGAGTGATAAGTACTTAAATTTGCAATAAATGGTCTACTCTCGGTAGACTGCATACTATTGTACTTGCTATAATAGCACTATTAATTGTTATGAAATATCATTTTTATAGGTACTACTTAATTAATTTAATTTCTATAATGGTACCTACCTGATATTGTATTTAAATAAAATAATTAAGTATACCTATCAATTATAAAATTATTTTCACCAAATAACTCTGCCCTGTTTAGTATTACGCATATTCAGATAAAATGTCATCTCGAAAACAATCAAATCTAAGTAGCCGAACAAAACGAAGAAGAGTAGAAGATGAGTTACGGTATATTAATGTCAGTGAAGATGTTATGGTGGTTAATTATGATATTCCTTCTTTAATTGTACCTAATAAAAGTGGATCACAATCAAAAAGTGTAGTTGAAATTGATTTGCCAACAAATCCACATGAAAATAATACTTTTTTAAATTTAAATCAAAATCAGCTACAAAATACTACGGAACTAACTGAAGATCCAATATATAACTCTGCTGATGAAGAAATTAAATATTTATCATCTGAAACCGATGAAGATGACGATATACATTTATGGAACAATGACAGTGAAATATCTTCTATAATATTATCATTAATTACACAATGGGCCATTACATATAATATTCCTCAAAATGCTTTGAGTAAATTATTATTAATATTAAGAAAACATAGTTGCTTTGAGGCTATTCCTAAAGATGCCAGAACTATAATGCACTCAAATACTGCAAAACCTAATCTGCGTATGGTAGAACCAGGTAAATATCACCATTTTGGTGTTGCCAATGGTATTAAAAAAAATATATTAGAATGTTCAAAAAAAAATTCAGATATTCAAATAGTTGTGGGAATTGACGGATTGCCACTTTTTAAAAGTAATTCTGAACAGTTTTGGCCGATACTAGCTTACATATATCCCAACAACGATAATGTATTTCCAATTGGAATATATTGTGGAAAAGAAAAACCAAAAGATAGCAATGATTTTATCAAAGATTTTATTGATGAATCTAAAGCTTTAATAGAACAAGGTCTTTATATTGATAGTAAAAAGTACAATTTTTCCATTCGAACTATGTGTTGTGACACACCAGCCAAGTCTTATATCTTAAAGATAAAAGGTCATTCAGGATTTTATTCCTGCTCAAAATGTGAAATTGAAGGAGAATACTTGGCCAATAGAATTTGTTTTCCGTATACACCATCCACAAGATGTCCACAAACAAGGTCTCATCAAAATTATTTAGTCCAATCACAAGAAGAACATCATGTCGGCAACACTTCTCTTTTGGCAACATTGCCAATGTTTGATGTTGTGACTACATTTTCTTTAGACTACATGCATTTGGTGTGCCTAGGGACTGTACGAAAACTCATAATGCTATGGATCAAAGGACCTATTGGAATCCGATATCCGTCGTGGAAAATCGAAGAAATGTCTAAAGCATTAGAACAATTGAAAATCCACATACCTTGTGAATTTGCTAGGAAACCTAGAACACTACTTGAAGTGAGTCGTTGGAAAGCGACAGAATTTAGAAATTTTCTATTATATATTGGTATAGTTGTAACTAAACCTATTTTACAAGATGAACATTGGAAACATTTTTTCGGTTTAAGTGTGGCAATGATAATTTTATTGAGTCCTGACTATGCAGAGTATATTAACGTTTCTCGTATATTATTGGATAATTTTGTTAAAAATTTTGAAAAAATTTATGGCCGTCATCTTATCTCGCATAACATTCATGGTCTAACACATATTTGTGAAGATTATGTCCGATTTGGTCCGTTAGATACTTGCTCAGCATTTCCATTTGAAAATTACATGTGCTCATTAAAAAGAATGCTGAGAAAGCCAAACAAGCCTTTAGAGCAAGTCGTGAATAGATATAAAGAAATTTGTGAGCTGAA